TAATAATAATAATAATAATAATAATAATAATAATAATAATAATAATAATAATAATAATAATAATAATATAATCATTATTATATTATAGTTAGACAAATTGTTTTAAAATTTTATTATTGCTATGTTCACTGTTGATAATCAGCTCCCAAATTCATTAAATAAAATCCTGCTGATGTTCTGAATTCTATGCCCTATTCATCTCGTCTGGTATAAAACCAAACTGATATTAAACTATAAGAACGCAATTTTTTCAGGCCAAACAAAGAAAGCAGTGTCAACCATCTGAGAAAGTCTTAAAGTAAAATTGGCTATAAATGTAATCAGAAAAAGAATATCAGAAAAAGGGAGCAATATAAAATCTGGACACAAAACTAGAAAGTTAGAATGACTATCTTACATCTTACCAAAAGTACTTGCATTGTAGGGCCCGATCTACAATTAGGCACAGTAAGACAAATATTATATCATCAAAGATACTTTTTTTAAATTCCCTGAATAGGTACTTCTTGAATTTTCTGTTTTATATATGTTTGTATTAATCATTTTTACTACTAGTGCAAGGCCCTGGACCAGCCTTACAGTCTTGGTTATAATACTCTTCTGAGAAAATCATAATTTCTACTCATAATTAGGAATTATTGTATTTTTTATACTTATACTTTTATATACTTATACTTTTATACTTTTATTATTGTATTTTTTTATACTTATACTTTTATACTTATTGGAGTATAAGACACACTTTTCCCACCTAAAAAAGTGGGTGGAAATGTCTGTGCATCTTATACAGTGAATATTGCAGTAGGGGGAGGGCGGTTGGTGCAGTGTGAATCAGCTATTCTAGAATGGGCTGCAGTCTTATAGTCCAGAGTGTCTTATAGTCTGAAAAATACGGTAAACCTTGTTTTGTTCCTTTCAAGCATGGTGAAAGAATTTAGTCAATATGTTTGAATTTATCCTGCATTTATTTTGAATGGGATTTTAGCTTATTTGTTTAAAATGTTAATATATTTTGGATTTAAGCAGTGATATATTTGATGTAAGTTCCTTTGGTTGCTGAAGGTATGATACAATGGTATTTTAATGACTTTTCAAATATGTTTTTAATTCTGTTCTTATTACTAGCTGTTGTTAGTTGGAAATGGGATGTATAAGCTTTAAAAGTAAAGTAAAATAAGGTACCAATTATACTTTATCTAGGAATATTCCTATATTATTCTAACAGAAAAGATGCTATTTATAATGTGTGAAAGAAGGAACACACAAGTAGAAATGGCAGAACAACAAAACATAAATTTATAGCCTCCATGGTAACACTGGTGCTGAAAAATTAAATGCTTTGAGAGTGATTAAACATCACAATATATCAGAGAATCCTAGAATGTCTCTGTAGTCCCAGCTAAAAGAAGCCCCCACTAACCTTCCATCCTTCTTAAAGGCACACATTCAAATTCCATTATGTACTTGCCAAGTATGTTTTATTAAAATAGCCACCAAAAGGAGAAAAAAAAGGAGAAGGTACAGCATCCTCCAAAACACTGACAATATTATGGAATATACACTCAGTTTTTCTGGGGTAATGTAGTTGTCATCTAGCCAAGCAAAGCAGTGTTTGAGGAAAAACTAAACACTCATGTACATAGTTTCCTTGTCCCAGTGTGTAGACACCACACTCAGCAGATAAGTTGCTAAATCAGTGTTCTTGAAAAGACGATATTTCAGAAAACGTGTATAGGTGTATATAGGCAAGACTTATTCCATTGTTTTTCTTCAATTATTTTATAGATTAAATTTAGATTAATAAATAAGAATAAATATAGTTATATACAGCAAAGTATACATAATGTAATTAAAATCAACTTGAAAACCTGGGAGATAAAGAGACTGCAGAAGCCAAGGTCCAGTCAGTGCCCTTTGAAACTGGGAAATGTGAAATGCAAATAAGTCAACTGAACACATACACACATGTACCATACATATCCTATAATTAATACATTCAGTCCATGACTGAACATAAAGGAATTGTGTCATTTCAATTCTCCTGCATCCGCTGGGTAAACCTCCTTCTCCTTCTCTTCAATGTCCGAAATTGTCCACAAGGAACATCATACCTAATGTGCAAAACAGCATGTCCAGACTGGGATATCTAGAGCCGTCTTCAGGATGCCTGGGCTAGAAATAATATGAGGAGGAATGTACTTGGCAAACAATCGTGACATATAGGCTTTCAGAGAGTTGAAAGCTACTCTTTAAAAAATGCGCAGCCACATTAACTTCTACTTACCTTGAAAAAAAGGCCATCATATAGAATTAATCTATAATTATAAATTATAAAAGCTAATAGCCTTGTTACCTAAATTTGCCAATAGGATTAAAAACTAAACATCCCTGTCATCTAACTTTAATAATCACCATTCTGTATATTTAGTCACTACACCTGCCCAACCTCCATTTCTATTGTTATTGAATAAGGATAGTGGATATATGTTTGGGCAAAAATGCTCAAGAACTCAACCAAATAAAAAATATAGAGTCAAGACAGAGCAATTGCAGAGGTTGAATGCTATGGTCAAAAATATATTGCTCAAAGGGAAAGGGTTAGTGAATGCCTAGGCTTGTATAGGAAGGAAAAAATGTAATGATATTTTGATTCCAAATAACTTAAACCTTTAAAGGTCAATTTTAATTCTTCAGATTTACCACAAGCAAATTTATCTCCCAAAAAAGTATGATTGGGTGGTTCCGGGTATGTTAAACATAAAACATATACTTTTATCCATTCATGTATCACTGGAAAGAAACAACCAATTATTGTGGTATGTGAATTCTGAGACTTAAGGGGTCAGTATAACATTTGGCTAAAGCAAGTGCATGTTATTTAGGTTGACTTTTTTCCATTTTTTTTGTAAAAAAACCCTTCCTGTTATGAAGCATTAACCTGTTAATTGCAGTTAATCATGTGCCCTACAGTTACTTGTTCAAAAACATCCTATCTATCATTGTAGGAACTCAACAATTCTGGTGATGGAGAAGGGGGAGAGTTTTTCTAAAAAAATAAAAATAAATAATGAACTGTAGTTTTTAGGTGGATCCATAGAAAGGGTTAAGGAGGCTATTCATTTGATAGCACCTGACTTTACTTCTTTCTTTCCTTTCTAGCAGTCACTTATGAATGTCTATGGAAATTAGATGATCAAGAAAAGCAGGTGTTCTACTGTGGTATTTTTAAGAGGGAAAGAGACAAGATCCCTTTAGTCCCCTTTGGTTCATCACAGCCTGCACACTATTAATCATGCATGCAAACAGAAAGGTCAATTGCACAGTATTTAAAGTAAACCCATAAATGAATGGGTTCTTTGAGCATAAAAGTGGCATGCCCTTGCTTGTGTGACCCAGAGGAGATGTCAAATGCAGCCAAGAGAAATAAAGTCATTTGCAATCAGTCGCTAAGCAGGATGAAGGAAACAAAGCTGGTTTGTTGTGATTTGAGCCTATCAGTTTGATATGACATTTTTCTGGTATCTTTCAAGATGTCATTACAAATGATATATCATTTCAGGGATTGAATATGCAGATGTTTAACATGTGCATAGACACACTACCACATGGAATAGCTTATGCTACTATAGCAGCATTTTCTCATTTTTCTTTTCAGCTCTATATACTGTCATCCTCCTATGTTCAGTCCTATGAAGAAATAAGAAACTACTAAGAATTTAAGGAAATGTATTATAAATTCAAGGAAATGTATTATGCAACCTCACTGGGAAATGCTTAAATTAATTCCCATTGCAGGAATATTATATTCTTTGCAATTGTATTAAGAAAATATGTAGTTCACAATTTTCGTTGGACTGCAAGATTTTATAATAAAAATAGGATGGAACATGTTGTAAATTTAACATATCCAGAATATGTACAGTACAATACAATATCGATTAATGGTATTAATACTTGGTAAGGGTAATACTTGGTAAATAGAATAATGAGACCGTTTGGCAATTTATTCAAGATGATTAGAGGTTATATTTTCAGTATTCAGACTCCATTTATTGTAACTGTGATTTGGAAAAGGGGACTTTAAAAAGAATATGCAGGTTTTGAACTTACAGTTTCTGGTAATCAAAAAGAAAACTATTCATAAAAACATTACTTTTATAAAACCAAAAATATAGTAAACGTATATAATATTAACATCAAGAAAATGGCAGTGGTTAA